AAGTGCCATATCCTTCCTGTTCTTTGGAAGGGGGTTCTCGAGCTCGTCATGAGCTCGACATGTCATTTCGTAGGTCATTAAAGACCCAATGAGTTCTTCAAGAGGGAATGTTTTAAGGTCTTTGGCCTCTTGAATGGCCGTAACTTTTGGATTCCAACTTTTTGGGAGAGATCTTAAGATTTTAGTTACTAGTTCAAAGTTAGTAAAACCTTTACCAAGAGCTTTGAGTCCATTGATGACATCCGTGAACCGGGTGTACATGTCTCCGATGGACTTACTTGGTTTCATTCGAAAAAATTCGTAAGAATGCACAAGGATGTTGATTTTGGACTCTTTCACTCGGCTAGTGCCTTCATGAGTGACTTCAAGAGTTCTCCAAATATCAAAAGCCGAATCACAAATTGAAACGCGATTAAATTCATTTTTATCTAGTGCACAAAACAAGGCATTCATAGCCTTTGCATTTAAAGTAAAAACCTTTTTTTCCGATTCATTTCATTCACTCATCGGAAGAGAAGATTTTTGAAATCCATTCTCGACAATAAACCAAAGCTCAAAGTCCATAGAAATGAGGAAGATCCTCATGCGAGTCTTCCAATATGTGTAATCCGACCCATTAAACAAAGGTGGTCGTGCAATAGAATGGCCCTTTTGCATGCCGGAGTAAGCCATCTCTCTTGGGTATTAAACCAAATATGAGAGATAACCTCGCTCTGATACCAATTGTTAGGATCGGAGCGGCACTAAGAGGGGGGGGTGAATTAGTGCAGCGGATTAAAACGTTGGTTTCGACAAATCTTTCGTATGATAAGAACGGAACTTGAAAAGCTTAACTTGAAAGCGTATTCTTAAAGTTGCACAGCAAAAGTAATAAGGAACTAAAGCATGTAAGAAGGTTTGCAGTAATGTAAATAGCAATAACGAAATGCAAACCAGAGATCACGCCGATTTTAGAGTGGTTCGGTCAAATGACCTACATCCACTTGCGAGGCCCCTCTTTGATGAGGCTCCCACCTTCCACTAATAAATAAATAAATAAATAAATAAATAAATAAATAAATATATATATGTGTGTGTATATATGTATATATATATATATATGTATATATATACATGTAAATATATATGTATATATATATATATGTGTATATATATATATGTATATATACATATAAGTATGCACATAAATATGTATATACATATATATAAATATATACATATATATGTACATATATATATATATATATATGTACATCTATATATATATATATATATATACATATATATATATATATACATATATATATAATATATATATATATACATATATATATATACATATATATATATATATATACATATATATATATATACATATATATATATACATATTGAGTTTTTCTTGCCTAAATCTTTCTTTGAGCTAGGGTTTACCTAAATCTTCCTAGCATGATAAAAATTGAAAGAATTGCTAAAGAGAGAGTTATTGTTTATTAGTTTGATAAAGATGAAAATGTCAAAATAAAATAGATATACTTTGAAGGTTACCTTAAGGTCTAGGGTTCAATCCCATTAGACTTATGTTTTTTTTCCTTCTTTTAATAATATTATTCTAGTGTTGCATCTCAACCAAAATAAGGTAGAGATACTTAGCAGGTAATTTTAAGTTTTCTTTCTTTTTACAAATATAATTCGATAGTAGCTTTTTGCGTTATGCTAAACATAAAATCAATATATATAGCCGGCGAGATCAGGGTGTTTGATATTTACTCCCCAACAAAATGATGTTCCTCAAGCTTAAGTGCGCGAAACCCCGCCACCTCTGCGAGCTTCTTAAACGATTCTCCTTCGGCGCCGTTTCCTTTGACGTGCACAGCTTAGCCGACTTCCTCGACGCTTGCATGTACGACGTGGCGGCCGCCCATGCCTGCCTTCTGAAGTCCCATGGCTTGGCCAGTTGTTCCGCACCGTGGAACAAAATCCTCGATCTTTACTGCAGAAGCGGCCTATTTCGACGAGCTCAGCAGCTGTTCGACGTAATTCCCAGCAGAGACGTCGTCTCTTATAACACGCTGATCTCTGCTCACGTTCGCCAGGGTCATGCTACCTTTGAGTCTCTGCGACTCTATACTCGGATGCTGTGCGAGAACATCAAGCCCGACAACGTCACCCTATCGATGTTGCTCGCCACTTCGAGTATGTTGGTGGAGCAAATCCACTCCCATTCGACCAAGATGGGTCTCAACTCGAATGCTTTCGTTGGGGGAGCCTTGGTCAGCGGCTACGAGAGATGTCGAGGGCTGGAGGAAGCAATCCGCACATTTGAGGAGATCGAGGAGATGGATGTGGTCTCCTGGAACATACTGATTGATGTGTGCGCTCGGAGAGGGAGCAAGCGGCATGCCGTGGACATGTTCTGCCGGATGCGCAAGGAGGGTGGTGGTGCCCTTGATTGCTTCACCTTGACGAGCGTCTTGAAGACATGCTCGGAGAGAGGGGATCTGAGCCTTGGTATGCAGCTCCATGGGTGTTCCTGGAAGGCTGGCTTGGTGCGTGATACCCCGATTGGGAATGCTCTTATTACTATGTATATGAAATGTGGAGGAGGATTGGATTCTGCAGTTGAAGTCTTCCAGACAATTTTGGACCCGAATATTATTTCGTGGACTGCGATAATTGCTGGATTAGTGCAGAATGGGCTGGCCAAAGAAGCAGCGGGCTTTTACTGTGAAATGGTGTATGTAGGCATGATGGAGAATGAATTTTGCTTTACTAGTGTATTACCTGCTTTCAGTATGTTGGTGAGCCTTGATCATGGGAGAATGATCCACTCAAGAATCATTAAGTCGGGGTTCTGTTGCGATGTAATGGTGGGAAATGCACTGATCGATATGTACTTCAAGTGTGGTAGTGCAGAAGATGCTCAAATGGCTTTTGAGACCATGAGAAACCGTGACACAGTGTCATGGACCATTACGATTCTGGGATTTGGTCAGCATGGAAAAGGAGAGGAAGCTCTTCAAATCTTCAGAGCACTTGAAAGAAGTGGCACCAGCCCTGATTCGGTTACTTTTCTTGCACTTTTATCCACATGCAGTCATGGAGGTCTTGTGGAGGAGGGGATTAAGATCTTTCACTCTATGGTTAATGATTACAACATCAAGCCAAAGAGGGAGCATTGTGCTTGTGTAATTGATATGCTGGGTCGTGCTGGTAAATTGAGTGAAGCTGAGAAGTTCATCCAGGAGATGGGTATAGAAAGGGATCCATTGGCATGGGAATCTCTTCTTCGAACTTGTGCGATACATGGAGCAACTGAACTGGGAGAGAGATCAGCTGAGAAGGTTATGGAATTGGAACCACATAAAGATGGTCCGTATGTCTTGCTATCAAATATCTATGCTGAACAAAAAATGTGGGAGGAAAAGGTGAAATTGAGAGGAAGATTGGATGCTAGTATGTTGGCAAAAAATGTAGGATACAGCTGGTCTTCAGGTTTTAAAGTATGAAAATTCTAAGTTGATATTCATCAATGGCAACACTTCAACTAATTCAGGATAGTGTTTCTATAAAGGCTTCATTGATCATGCAAATTATCCCTTCATGTGATGTGCAACATATCCTGCTGTCCTTTCTGGAATCAACTGGTGCTTAAACATAAACTTAGTTATCAGCATGTGAACCTGATTTAAGATGCAGCAGGATGACAGCTCTTTATCTTCCAAATCAGGGGAGATTTTTTTGCTTAGTGCATATCCAATATCTAACTCTATTACTCATGACCGCAGATGGTATCAGTCACATCAAAGGTACAGACACTTACCTTGGAGTTCAATTTAGTGTTTTCTTCATCCTGGTGCTAATGGGAGACAATTTCTATCAGAGGTAAATATAAATATATATAAAAACATTGCAGAAGACAAGGATTGTGTGGTTGAACACAATAAGAGAGATCCTGTCACTTGAGTTATCATTGGACCATTTTATTGGGCACACCTGAAACCAAATAATATTTTTTGGCCTTTTTTCAGCTACTTAATCTAGGCTCCTGAAGTTCTCACATGAGACCTTGGACATAAAGAACCAAACCACAAGAATTCATCTATCTGTCAACCTCGAAATATCATCTTTCTAAAATATTGCTAAAGTCAGTAGCCTATCTTTTCAGGACATCGAATATTAGGAAAATTACACTTGTATCTTGTTTATTTGGCTTCATGAACTCTTGAAAGCAATCTGAATACAGAAGAGGTTCTGGCATATAAAAATTTTGGAACCTCCAGTAAACTAGGTAAATTTTGTTGTATTCTTTAAGCAAGAAATGGTTATCACTGTCTGAAGGCTGAAATATGGAAAAGATACTTTTCCACAATCAGTGGAGTAGATTGTGGAATTGGATGCTGCATGAAGAATGTGGGAAACAAAAGAGGAAGTCAGGGTATGTCAAGACACACTCATATACTAGAGAGGGGATTGGATTCAGCTGGTTGTGCAGGTATTATTGTTTGGAAGTTCAGGTGATATTTGTCTACGATATTTTTTCAAATGAGTTTAAGGAGCATTCTTATATGGCCTTCTCTTCCCATTGACCAGAAATGACCCCACAAATGAGAAGGAAGCTTTCCACTGGCCTTCACAGACTGGGCCCATATTTATGGATGCTCATTAACCAGCTTATGAAGCCTACTATAAGAAGCATATGCTAAAAGGTATGAGCAAAATAGCTATAAATGCAAATAGTCATTTGACCATGAGCTTTAATGCTAGAAAAGGCATACTGTATGGAGAGAAGACCTTAAATACAACAGTGGATGGCATGAAAATCTAAGACTTGAGTACAATTTGGAAAATAAGTGAGCTTTCTTTCTGCATAACATGAATGGAAGCAATCTGAAATCTAGTGGCTGTGGTATTATGTTTTCTATAAGATATATGGTATCTTTATTGGTAATGTAGTCATGATTCATATGCTGGGAACAATAGTCTTTCCTGCTTAGTTTTGATAACTCTTCCAGGTTATGGAGTTTGCTCCATAGAGAAGCATGATATTGTTTGCTTTCCACAAACTATCAAAGCAGCTCACATGTTGGATCTATAATCTTTATGAACTTTAATTTTGTAAAACTTTACATATTATTGCCAATGATGACAACAGACATACTGTGTTTAGCCCTCTCTAAACCTCAGATAAAAATAACCTATCTATAAGATTATAAATAGGTATCAGATCAAAACAGCATCCTTGGTTGTGGTTATAAGATTTAACTCTGAACAAAAGAAACATTAGTCTCCAGTTAGTCCTGATATCATAAGTTTTCCTGCATTGGATAAAAACATTGACTACCTGATTTCAGATTCTATCATGGTTTTTTTATTTTTCTGAATTTCTTTTCTTCCGTTCATACTAAAATACCACAAGTTCATTCACTTGTCCATGCTTTATTAGCTGCAGAGACCCTCCTCATGTTGCAGTCTACAATCTGATCTAATACTTGTCATTTTTCATTTGTGGCCAGTTATGTGACAATGAAAGTAAAGTTTACTGATGCAAATTCTTAGATGAATATTTCTTGTCCATGTTTACAGTTTACTTGAGCTTCAAATACTGAACAGAGATAGATAAGCAAAACTTAGTTTGCAAAATCATGCCCTTTGGCCTTCAGATATCATATCAATTATTTATTTCCTTTCATTGTCAGAGACATGCATTTAAACAACAATAAATCCAGGAAACTGGTTAAATCAACATGGCTTCATCATAGAAAAATAATGATTGTGTGCATCTAAAAGGTATAAAATTCAATTTTGTCCTGGATCAAGTTTTTACATGTATTAACTACTTATGATTGATTATGGAGATTTTTTTCTATAATTTAGGAGTTCTGACAGGTATGTCTCACGGTCAGCTCAATATTAGGTTTAGAGGATCACACACATATGGTAAGCATTGCGACGAGTAGAGCTTCAAATATGAGATCTGTCGAAACCCTTGTCTTATTAAATATCCAATAAGCTCATGAATTATTGGATCATATGGATAGGATCCAATAAGAGCCAATGAGAGATTATTGGATAGAGATCCACTAATCTAAGAGGCTTGAGTAATTGGATGAAGATCTAATACCTAATAGGGCAAAATCAATTAGGGTTAAGTTAATAGGTGACCTATATAAATAGGAGAGAACCAAAGGCTCATAGGCTAAATGTTTTTAGTTGTCACCTCATATTCTCTTCTCCCCTTCTCCTTCTCAGATAGGAGGTATGAAGATTTGGACAATGATTGGAGGAGCGTCGTCGCAGCTCTGCTGTGTGGATCATCATTAGAGAGGAGGACACTTGACCTCCTTCATCCTCTCTTATAGATCTGTAGAGATTTAAGGATATACGATCTCCCAAGGTAATTTAACTATCTCATACATGGTTTTCTGTTTCGCGGGTTTTGCACACAAATCTTCACACGACGATGAATACATTTTGAGAAATTTAAGATTTTTATTTTATGTTCTTCTACTACGCATATGATGTCACCTCTAGATTTCCCTATAATTGTACCTATTGGTTACAAGTGGATATTTAAGAAGAAGATCAGAGTAGATGGAAAGGTAGAGACATACAAAGCAAGACTAGTGACTAAGGGGTATCGTCAAAGGCAAGGTGTTGACTATGACGAAACTTTCTCACTCGAACTCATGATTAAATTCATCCGAATTCTATTGGTTATTGTAGCACACTATGATTGTGAGATCTGATAGATGGATGTGAAAACCGTATTCCTCAACGACAACCTTGATGAGGAGGTGTATATGATATAACATGAGGGATTCATGTCAAAGGATAGTCTAGATAAGGTGTGTAGGTTGCTTACGTCCATCTATAGACTGAAGCAAGCTTCTCGTAGTTGGAACATAAGATTTGATTATGCGATCAGATCTTATGACTTCGTTAAGAACGAAGATGAGCCTTGTGTGTACAAGAAGGTAAGTGAGAGTGCTATCATCTTCTTGGTGTTATATGTGGATGACATCATAATCATTGTGAATGATATATGAATGCTCTCCACAGTAAATGCTTGACTATCCAAACACTTCTCCATAAAGGACTTATGAGAAGCATCATATATATTGAGGATTTAGATCTATAAAGATAGATATAAGAGGATGCTTAGCTTGTCCCAATCTATGTACATAGATACCGTTGTCAAAAGGTTCGATATGAAAAATTTCAAGAGAGGTCTCATACCGATGAGACATGGTATATACTTTTCTAGGAGTATGTCCCCAAAGACTCCTAAAGAAAGGGCAGGCATGGATAAGATACTCTATGACTCAGCGATAGAGTCTATTAGGTATGTTATACTATGTACCAGGCCTAATCTAACGCATGCTTCGAGTGTCATGAGCAGGTATCAGACGACTTTAGGCTTTGAGCATTGGAAAGTAGTAAAGTGTATCCTTAAGTACTTGAGAAGGACTAAGGATCTTTTACTAGTATATGAAGGAAGTAGCCTCAAGGTTGAGGGCTACATAGACTCGAGCATCCAATCTAATGTTATTGATAACAAGTCTAATTCATAGTATGTGTTCACCTTGAATGAAGGAGCTGAGGAGCAGTATGCTGGAAGAGTTCCAAGCAAGATACTACTACTGACTTGACCATAGAGGCATAGTATATTGCTGTGGTAGAGGCAACAAAGTAGGGAATCTGGATGAAGAAGTTCATCATAAATCTAGGAGTTGTGCTAGGCAGCGAGGAGTCGATTCCCTTATATTGCAGCAACTACGAGACGATTCCTTAAATCAAGGAACCCGGGTCTCATTAGAAGTGTTCTGAGGAGGTTCCGGCTTATTAGAGAGATTGTGACTTGAAGAGATGTAGCAGTGGAAAGAGTTCCATCTGAAGATAATATTGCCGATCCATTGACAAAGTAGTTGTCTCATATCGTCTTTGAGCGTCATCCGGGTCTGATGAGGATTAGACACATAGGTGATTGACTTTAAGTCAAGTAGGAGATTGCTAGTCATAGGTGCCCTGCAAGCCAATCATGTAAGTGATGACACATGTGATATGACATGCACTCTTTTTGCTTATTATTATTACGATATTTTCTCACTTTATATTACTTAATGCATAAATATATTATGATATCCATAGATCTATGTAATGAGAATCGGATCGTGATGAGATCACGATAATAAGACCGATTCACCTCTAAATACAAACCCTAAATAATTCTGGTCATAGGTTACTTAAGAGGGACATCGAGATAATCAGACAGATTGGTGTGCTATATACTTGTCTATATGATGGAAGAAGTTGATCTCATAACTGCTCGTGTAGGGACACTAGGGCTATAGTGCAGGTGCTCATTAGAGAATGAGTTCACTAATTGATCCGCTTACGGAATGCCAAATGGTTGATGATACCTCATTGTCAAATAATGATTCCATCATCCTAGTGGTGAACCTAGTTCTTAGACTTGGGACACCAAGGATGTCCTGCTCGACCAACCATGATGTTTGGTTAAGTCATCACTATCATTACAAGATGCGTCTGATTCGATGATATGCCCTCGAGGAACTTGACCAAGCATACAATGTCCTCATGTCACCGGTGACATCTCTATGTCATAAGCAATATATCGAATCGCGATATAGGTGAGCCTCGAGGGACTTGACCAACTAAACCTACAACGAGAATCAATTTATACATATAACGATGGAAGGTCACGTGGGTCAATCTAATTGCCTCACGTTTACTAACTTGCTAAGAAGAACCAAAAAGCTCTTAAGCAAAAATGCTAGCTTCTCATTTTTCATGCAAAGTTTTTGCTTAACTTCTCATTTTTGCTAGCTTGGATAAATTAGTATAAAATTTACTTA